AAAAAAAAAAAAAAAAAAAAAAAAGAACACAAATCAGAATTAAAGATGGAGAAATAACAACTGACACCACAGAAATACAGAGGATTGTAAAGAAATATTATGAACAACTATACGCCAAGAAGTTGGACAATCTGGATGAAATGGATAAATTCCTAGAAACATACAATCTTCCAAAACTAAATCGGAAAAACATAAAAATGGAAAAACATAAAAATCTAAATAGATTACAACTAACAAAAATAAGCAGTAATAAAGTAAACTCCCAACAAACAAAACTCCTGTACCGGATGGCTTTACAGGTGAATTTTACCAAAGCTTCAAAGCTTCAAAGACGAGCTAACTCCTATCGTCAAACTTTCCAAAAAATTTAAGAGGAGGGAAGACTCCCAAGCTATTTGTGAGACCAGCATTATGCTAATTTGAAACCCACATGAAGACACTATACAGAAAGAAAATTATAGACCAGTGTCTCTGATGAACAAAGATGCTAAAATCCTCAACAAAACATTATCAAAACAAATCCAACAATACACTAAAAAGATGATGTACCATGAAAAAGAGAGATTTATTCCAGAGATGCAAAGTTGGTACAATATCCAGAAATCAATAAATGTGATATACCACATAAGCAAAGTGAAGGTAAAAATTACATGATTAAATCCATAGATGCAGAAAAAGCATTTGATAAAATCCGTCACCCATTTATGATAAAAACTCTCAGCAAAGTGGTAATAGAGGGAACATACCTCAACATAACAAAGGCCATATGTGACAAAGGCCATATATCACAAACCCACAGCTAACGTCATATGCAATGGGCAAAACCTGTGTTTCCGTTAAGATCAGGAACAAGACAGGGATGTCTACTTTTACCACTCTTATTCATCATAGTACTTGATACCCTAGCCACGGCAATCAGACAATGAGAAGAAATAAAAGGCATATAAATTGGAGAGGAAAAAGTACAACTGTCATTATTTGCTGATGACATGATACTGTATATAGACAACCGTAAAGATTCCCCTGCAAAAAATCTACTAAAACCCATAAATGAATTCATTAAAGTAGCAGGATACAAAAATAAATATCCAGGAATCAGCTGCATTTTTATATACCAATACTGAACTATAAGAAAGGGAAACTAATAAAACAGTCCCAGTTGCAACTGCATAAAAAACAACAATCTAGGAATCAGTTTAACCAAGGATTTAGAAGACCTGTACTTGGAAAATTATAAGACACTGAAATAGAAATTGAAGAAGATATAAATAATTGGAAGCATATACCATGTTTATGGATAGGAAGAATTAACATCATTAAAATGCTCTTACTACTCAAAGCAATCTATAGATTCAATGCAATTCCTATCAAGATACCAATGCTATCTTGCACAGAAATAGAACAAAAATTTGTATGGAACCACAAAAGACCCCCGATGGCAACAGCAATCACGAGAAAGAACAAAGTTGGAAGAATCATGCTACCTGATATTAAACTATACTGCAAAGCCATAGTAGTCAAAACAGTATGTTACTGGCATAAAACATACATATAGATCAATGAAATAGAATAGAGAGCCCAGAAATAAACCCACACCTTTATGACAATTAATATTTGACAACAGGGTAAAAGAAACAACCAATGAGGTAAAGATAGTCTATTTAATAAGTGGTGTTGGGAAAATTGGACAGATATGTGCAAAAAAGTGAAACTAGACCACCTTTCTTACACCATACACAAGAATAAAATAAAAATGGAATAAAGACTTAAATGTTAGACTTGAAACCATCAAAATCCTAGAAGACAACATAGGTAGGAAAATATTGCACATTTCTCATAGCAATATTTTTTCTGATACATCTTCTCAAGCAAGGGAAACAAAGGAAAAAATAAATAAATGGGAATATGTCAACTAAAGGTTTTGCACAGCAAAGGAAACTGTCAACGAAATGAAAAGACAACCCACTGAATGGGAGAACATATTTGCCAACGATACATCTGGTAAGGGCTTAATATCCAAAATTTGTAAAGAACTTATAAAACTCAACACCATAAGACCAAACAACCCAATTAAAATGTAGGCAAAGGACCTGAATAGACACTTTTCCAAAGAGGACATACAGATGGCCAGTAGCATATGAAAAGATGCTCAATGTCATTAATCATCAGAGAAATGGAAATTAAAACCACAATGAGATATCACCTCACATTTGTCAGAATGGCTGTCCTCAACAAATCAATGAACAGCAAGTGTTGATGCAGAGCAAAGGAAACCCTCGTGCACTGTTGGTGGGATTGCGGATTGGTGCAGCCACTGTGGAAAACAGTATGGAGTTACCTCCAAAAATTAAAAATGGAACTGCCTTTTGACCCAGCAGTTCCACTTCTGGGAATATATGCAAAGAAACCCAAAACTCTTATTTGAAAGAATGTATGCACCCCTATGTTTACTGCAGTGTTATTCACAATAGCCAAGATCTGGAAGCAGCCCAAGTGCCCATCAGGAGATGAGTGGATGAAAAAGCTGTGGGACTTTTACACAATGGAATACTACTTGGTCTTACAAAAGGAAAGGTTACCTTTTGTGACAGCATGGATGCCCCTGGAGAGTATTAAGTGAGAGAAGCCAATTAGAGAAGGACAAGTGCTATATGATTCCATTTATATGTGGAATCAAATGAACAAAATAAACTAAGAAAGAAACAGATTCATAGATACACCGAACAGACTGCCTGCCCTCACAGGGGGAGGGGGAAATGGGTGAAAAAGGTGAAGGAATTAAGCAAAAAATAAAACTCAGACACAGACAACAGTATGGTGATTACCAGAGGGAAAGTGGGGTGAGGGGAGGTAGAAGAGGGTAAAAGGGGGTAAATACTGTTGGAAGGAGACTTGGGGTGGTGAACACACAATACAGTATACAGATGATGTATCATAGAATTGTACACCTAAAATCTATATAATTTTATTGATCCATGTTACCCTAATACATTCAATAAAAAAAAAATGCTAAAGGAAAGTAGTAGGAGCTAAAAAATGAAATAAAAAATCAAGACTGCTTAAACTTTTTATTCTGTAGTTTCTGTTGATTTACATCTGTGCTTATTAGCCTTCATGTATCCTTTGTGCCTATATGCTTTTTAAATAACGTTGCTAATATCTTGTTTTTCTATACAGCTTTATTGAGATACAATTCAGACAGCATCCAATTTAGCCTTTTTAAATTGTACAATTACATGACTTTTAGTATATTCACAGTGTTGTGCATTTATCACCACAGCCAATTATAGGATATTTTTATTACTTCAAAAAGAAACCCGTTACCCCCAACCTCCTTTTACCCTCCCGTCCTCAGTAACCACTATACTTTCTGTCTCTATGGAATGGATTTGCATATTCTGGACACTTCATCTAAATGGAGTTATAACACTATCTAGTCCTTTGTGACTGGCTTTATTCACTTAGCACAACACTTTCAAGGTGCATCCATGTTGTAGCACGGTTCAGTACCTCATTTAGTTTTATTGCCTAATATTCCATAGTATGGATAATACCACGTTATTTATTCATTCACTAGTTGATGAATGTCTGGATTGTTTCCACTTTTTGGCTATCATGAATAATGTTGCTATGAACATTTGTGTAGACATACGTTTTCACTTCTCTTGGATGTATACCTAGGAGTGACTTTGCTGGATCACTTGGTAACTCTAAATGTTTCAGAAACTGTTTTCCAAAGTGACTGACCATTTTGCACTTCCATTATCAGTGTATGCGAGTTCTAGTTTCTCCACATCCTTAACAATCTTTATTATTATCTTTTTTATTATAGTCATACTGGTGGGTGTCAGGTGGTATCTCATTGTGGTTTTGATTTGCATTTCTGTGATGGCTAATGATGTGCTTAATTTTCATGGGCTTATTGACCATTTCTGTATCATCTTTGGAGAAGTGAGTATTCAGATACTTTGCCTATTTTAATTGGGCTATTTGTCTTTTTTTACTCTAATGCATTGTTTTAAAATAATTTTTTATTAGGACAAATGGTCAGTGATCATAACTTTAAAAATAAATACTTATTGAATGAAGGCATATGACACTTGGTACAGTTTTTAGGGTTCTTTGTAGTGTCTGGTGGATTGTTGATCTCTCTCCTCCCTCTTTTCTTAGGGGCCCATTTTGCAGCTCTCAAGTTTTTGTAGAATGGTGTAAACAATTGTCACAATTTTTCAAGAAACAGAAAGAGTTGCACCTTCCTCCTCCTAATAGAACTTTTATAGTTGCATTCAATGCCTAACGTTGCAGAAGCAGAAAGGGCAAATGATTCTGGAAATGGTGAGCACAAATCCGAGAGAAGGTCTCCTGAAGAGAACCTACAAGATGCTGTACAGTCTTTTTGCACACATACCTCAGGAGCACCCTTGACTCCCAAAGGAGATGGTCATTATCCGTGGAGCTGTCCAGTGACCCATACTCGGGAGAAAATTTATGCCATCTGTTCAGACTATGCCTTTCTCAACCAGGCAACCTCAATCTATAAAACTTCAAATCCATCTCGCTCTTCTTGCCTCCCCGATAGTACCTCTTTATCTGCTGGAAATAAATCATCAAGATACATTGGCATCCCAGCTAGTACATCCGAAATCATCTACAATGAGGAAAATAGCTTAGAAAACTTATCCAGTAGCCTGGGCAAACTACCTCTCGCATGGGAAATTGATAAATCTGAATTTGATGGGGTGACCACAAATGTGAAACACAAATCAGGTAAGGAAGGAGCCATGACGTTCACATGTGAAAATAGTAAGAAAACAATGTATCATTTTAATTTAAAGATAACCTTGGACATGGAACATTTGGTTCATTAATGTGTTGCTATTGGAAACTTCAAACATTACCATTGCATTTTGAGAGCGTAGAAAAATCTAGGATGCTGTAGAATACAGGTATTACAGATAGATACATGGTGACTTAGAAAATGGTTAATGAGGTGGTTAGAGCAACATACTACTATGTTATAGTTGTGCAGGGAAATGAATTTCTATTTCCCAATTAAATATCTGGTTTTCTTTTCTGCCACATAACATTGAGACTTTTGTTGTTGCTGCAATTTTTTGAGTACCCTGCAAGGTCTCTAGGGTAACACTGAGTAGGTTGTCAGACTGCCCAATTTGGGTGCTGATCACCGAGGGAGCTCACTTCGGGTGCAGTGCACAGCCCTCACAATTGCGATATGGTGGTCCTCTAGCAAATACCAATGCTTTCCCCTCTTTTTGTAATTTTAATTTTTGTTTTACTCACAGTAACACAGGAATTTTATGAGGTAGGTACTTTTATCCCCTTTTCATTGGTGAAGAAATTGAGGCATGGAGGGGGTAAGTCGCCTGCCCAAATTTGCATAGCTAGGAAGTCATAGTAGAAGTAGGGTTTGTATTTTACTTCTAAGCTTCTCTGATCATTTTGTAAACCCACCAACTCTACCCATTCTTTTGCAAAATCAACTTGTTTCATGGAATGTTCTGTAAATTTGTAATTTTCAGGGTGTCAGGGGATTTCACTTTGTCTATATTTCTGAGTGACTGGGCTACAATTTGTTTTTGTTTTTTAAGTAATTAAAAAAAAAATCTTTATTGATCTCAGAGAGAAGAAAGGAGAGGGAGAGAGAGATAGAAACATCAATGATGAGAGAGTCATTGATTGAGCCCGCAACCCGGGCATGTGCCCTGACCAGGAATCGAACCCTGATCGCCTGGATCCTAGGTCGATGCTCACCGCTGAGCCATGTCCGGCTGGGCTGGGCTACAATTTTTTTAATGTCTTTTTCAGGTGTTGGAATTAGGGCGGTGCAGGTCTCCTAAGTCAAGTTGGGAAGTGTTTTCTCCTTGGGAAGTGTTTGTTGAGGGGTATTCAAAATCTCTGACTTTGATTATGTTGTCTTAATTTCCATGCTGTCAAATTTTATTTTGTCCATTTTGTCTAAGTGGTTAAGACTGTTGGCATAAAGTTGTTTCTAATAGTCCCTTTATTCTTTTCAAATCTATATGGTCTTTTGTAATAACTGTTCTTTCATTCCTGAACTTGTCTTTTATTTTTTTCTTGCTAGGGGTTTATAGGTTTTGTTTATCTTTTCAAGCAACCAGCTTTTAGCTTTGTTAATTTTCTCAACTGTTTGTTTTCTATTTCACTGATTTCTGCTCTTTATTTTCCCCCTACTTTTCTTCCTTTCAGTTTACTTTGTTCTTCATTCTCTGACTTCTTGACTCAAGACATTTCTGCTATAAACACTTAATGTTCTAAATTGCTCTCTAAGTCCTGTTTTAGCTATAGTCCACAAATTTTGATGTACTTTATTTTTACTATCATTTAATTTGAAGTGTTTTCTAATTTTCCTTGTGATTTCTTCTTTCATACATGCACTATTTAGAAGTATGCTTTGTAATTTCTAGATAATTTGTTTTTTCCCCTAAATATTGATTTCTAATTCAGTTCCATTGTGGACAGAGGACATATGATCTCAGTCTTTTTAAATTTACCGAGACTTGTTTTATAACTCAGCATATGATCTATGTTAGTGAAAGCACATGTGCACTTGAAAAGAAGGTGCATTCTGTAGTTGTTGGGTGTAGTGTTCTACAAATATTTATTAGGTCAGTGCTTTTGAAAGTATTACTCACATGTTCCATGTCTCTACTTAATTTTAGCCTTGTTCTATCAATTGTTGAAAATGGAGTATTAAAAATCTCCAACTATGATTGTGGAGTTGCCTTTTCTCCATTTAATTCTGTTGATTTTTGTTATCATGTAATCTGAAGCTGTTATTAAGTAGATACTTACACATTTATGATTTTTATTTCTTCTTGATGAATTGACCTTTTTATCATTATGAAATATTCCTCATTATTCCTGGCAATATTTCTTGTTCTGAAAGTACTTTGTTTGATGTTTATATAGCTCAGTGATTTTCAGCCGGTGCTCCATGGCACACTGGTGTGCCACAAGAATTTTTAAAACATGCACACCTGACTATTTAGTCAGGGGCACTAACCTCTTTTCACTTAGGTTGATAAATTAAAAAATGATGACAGCCAACACAACAATAGCCATCTTGTGTGAACGAATAAAAATTAGGCCTTTTTTGGTCAGATCAGCAAAAATTTGTTTTTTGGTGTCCTGCAAAATTTTAGTAATTAGTTTATGTTTGCCATGAGATGAAAATGGTTGGAAATCAGTACTATGGCTAATCTAGCTTTCTTTTGACTAGTTTTCAATGGGTACATATTTTTCTGTTCATTTATTTTCACCTGTGTCTTTTTATATTTAAAGCACATATCTTAAGATAGTGAAGTATATTCAGTGAATTGTTTATTTCAGATATTGTTTATCTTGGTTCTAGAATTTACCTTTTTAAATAGTGTTTGTTTCTTATTTTGGATTTGATATCTTTTCATTCGTTACTAGAGCATTTTATCCATCTCATAAAGCACAATTATAATCCCCACTTTAAAGTCCTTATCTGCCAATTTTAAAGTCTGAGTCATCTCACAATTTGCCCTTTTTTCTTTAGAATGTGTCACATTTTTTTCCCCTGTTTCCTCACATGTTCAGTAATTTTGGATTGTATCCTAAATATTGGTAATGTTATCTTACTGTGACTTTGGATTCTGGTATATTCTTCCAAACAGTGCTTTAAAAAAAAAATAATTTATTTAGCACAGTTAATTTGATTGGACCCAATCAACTCTGTCTCTTGAGGACATCTCAAATTTCAGTTCAATTCTTTCAGCTTTAGCGGTGCTGTTTGGGGTTTGCTGTGTGCATGTGTGAGCCTAAGATTTGGGCCAAATTTATATACAGAATTTAGATCTCCCCTTATCTGGCTCTCTTCTTCCTGGGGTCCCGCCACCTCTCTTTTTAGTAACTGTGATTGTTTAGAACTCAGTCCCATGGTTCTAAAAGCCAGTGTGGTGAATAGAGGTGTGTATATAGTATGTATATATATTTGGTGTTGGGGCTCTGTGAGTGTGTTGTGGGCAGGGTGAGGTGTAGAAGAAGGAATCTGCCAATGACTAGGGGCAATGGGCAAAGGTTACTGGAGTTGATGAGATGGGGAGTCTTCAGGTGTCACTCTTTTGTTTCCTTCTCAAACTTAGCTTCCAGTTTGACAGAGCTTTCTTCCTCCAGTTGAATGGAGTTTTGTTTTGGGACCAGTTCTCTGTGTGGCAGTGTGAGATGTTATGGAGGATGTTCATTTGGAACATATATCCTTATGTATCTCCAGGGACTTACAGGAGTAAGCTCAGAACAGAGAAGAACAGAGAACAGGCTTAGCTAAGCATTAGAGGAAAGTGTGTGGGTACAGACCACTGCTGAGGTCAGATTGCCATGTTCATTAGCCTCTAAAATTCTTAGTGACTGGGAAAACTTCTTAGGGAAAACTTAGGGCATTATTGGGCAGTGAAGACATCTCAAGAAATGGTAGAAAGTAGGTTTTCCATTTTCTGGATCTCTATTTATTATTAATGGAAATTTGCCATAATGAGATTCTCATTTTTTCAAGTTATTGTTTGCCAGTGGTTGTTTAGCTCTGTGAGAAATTTCATGTTCTCTGAAGACTTAGAATAACTAGAAAGGGGTGGGGTGGGACTTGTTTCTAGATATAATAGTGTTTGCTTTAATAATATTTTAGAGAAATTACAGAAATTTCAGTAAAACAACAGTTTCTAAGTTCCAGCTGGTTTTGGGTACCAAATGATTTCAGTGTACAGCATCTTAAATGAATAAAATGGACCCTTTTCCATGTTTGTTTTCTGGGAATATGTCTATATAATTTATGTTTCATAATTTATGAATAACTCATAAAAATAAAACATTAGCTTTTATTTAATTTTTATAACAGATTTGATTATTTCATTTAAAATATTATATGTGCGACAGTATTAAAGTATTTGAGCATAGCTATCTAAAATGTTAATGGTATTAGTGAAATAAGACTTGGATGTTATTAATATTTTAATTTATATAATATTTTGACTAATCCATTAGCATGGCTCAGAAATCAAAAGCATAAAAATTATACACTACAAAGTCTAAATCTTACTTTTGTCTTCCTTTTGTCTAGCTCCGAGTTTCCCTCCTCCCCATAGGTGACCACTAGTATTTGTCTTATGTGTCTTTTGCGGGAAGGGGGGTGGGAGAGAGAGAGACAGATAGAGAAAGGGATTGGAGAGGAAGTGAGGGAGAGAGAGCGAGAGAACATGCACATACACAGAAAAGAAACTTTGTTTTCTATTCTAGGTCCTGATGCTAAAGTCGCTTTTAATAACATACATATGTGTGCATCATTTTTAAACCATTTTGTGGGCTCTGTAGGCCTGCAGATATTTTTAAACATCATGATTGCATTAGTGGATCTAATGTTTTTACTTTTTAACAGAGTTACAGTAATGTGGTTTTATTGTTTTATAGAAAGGATTCATTTTCTAGAAAGTGCTCTAGTTAAATATTTTACTGTTGGTAATTTGATTTTCTAAATTAAAGATTTTGTCATTGATTCTTGTACTAGCTTAGGAATTGGAATATACAGATCTGATAGGAAATAACATTCATGCTTGTTTAAATATGTTTTTGTTTTCTCCCTTTAAGGTAGGAGAGTATTTTTGAAGATACATTTATTTCTTTAATATGTTTACAAATATCATTTTTAGAACTAGTGGCAGTTACTTTTTAAATTTTGTTCCACAATTACTATAATTGTCCTGGCAGTTTACTTCATCTTAAGCATTTTGTTTTTTCTACTCTTATATTCTAGGCAATGTAAAGAAACAAATTTCCAAGAAAAAGCCTTCAGATAAAAAAGGAAGGCATCAAAGGGATTGGCCTCAACAGTCTCCTCTTGAAGATATCAAACAGCGGAAAGTATTAGACCTCAGACGATGGTAATCTCTAAAAATATTTGTAGATCATATCTCTGATAAGGGTTTAATATCCAGAATATATAAAAACCTCATAGAACTGAAGTTGCAAATAATCACGCATGCAGCTCAGCTAGGAATATGCACTGAAATTTTAGTAGCTGGTGTCTAAATTTATACGCCATTATTTTTTCCCATTGGTTTGGATAATATCCACTTTTATTAGTAGTCATACTTAGCTGTCTCTATTAAAATTAATGATTTATTGTTCTTATGCACTTATGATGAGTTTAATAAATATAAACTATTTTAAGGGAATAAAGATTTTATATTGGTTTAAATGATCAAAATTTTCATTATGTTAGTACTCTTAGTTGCCATGAGTGTTATATATTTAATACCTATTTTGTATTAATTCAAGTGAAGAAAACTTTTGTTTTCCCAGGTACTGCATAAGCCGACCACAATATAAGACTTCTTGTGGTATCTCCTCATTAATTTCTTGTTGGAATTTCTTATATAGTACAATGGGAGCTGGAAAGTGAGTATGTTAATTTATTGGTATCTCTACACTCCAAGTTATTCAGTGTTGCTATTTCTGTAATGGAAGGTTTTTAAGGATAAAATTGTCATAAATTGAGAAAAAACTGCTGCATTTTGTTTTAAGCCTTTTAGCTAAAATATATGCATACATTGCTTTTGATAAAATAAAAATTAAAAATATTACTAAAACTGCAAATCAGACAGACATATTAATATTGAGACAGGTTATATTTGAATGTGGTTGGAATTTTAAAATGAAAGGCAATGTTTCTTTTGTAGTCTTCCACCTATTACCCAAGAAGAAGCATTACATATTTTGGGCTTTCAACCCCCATTTGAAGATATTAGGTTTGGCCCTTTCACTGGAAATACAACACTTATGAGGTATGAAGCCCTCACTTAGAGACAATACCTTATTTCTAATTCTGTAAAATAATAATGTAGATGTGTGTTGATAGTAAACCATGTATCTAGCTGCCAGGCCCCAACCTGTAGTAGGTATATCAATTTGGGCTCTGCCTGAATTTCTCTAGAATTGGAATAGTGCCATCTTTGTTATGGAACTGTTGCCATGAGCAAATCTTCTTGTTATTTTCAGATGGTTTAGACAAATTAATGAACACTTCCATGTAAAAGGATGCTCGTATGTTCTATATAAGCCTCATGGAAAGAATAAAACAGCTGGAGAAACTGGTAGGTAAACATAGAGAAGATTTATACACATGTACACGCACATGCACATATATGCCTTAGACCATTTCGAGGAACGATTAGCCGTTTTGATTATGTAAACACTAAACACAGTCTGTTACTTTTATATTTCTCTGTCCGAGGGGGAAATCGTAATAGTAATCTGTAGGGCACTTTTCAGTATACAGTTTAATATTTTTAGCTCTTCTCATCTTTTTCTATGTGTATTTTCTGAAGGATGATTGATCTGCCTGCCCACCTTGGAATTTTCTTGTCTTCCTTTTCAATAACCAGTGGTCTTGCACAAGCCCTGCTTTATCTCTGAAGCTTTCCCTGGCACTTTAGAAGCCAATTACTCTTCATTTCTACAGTACTGATTATTTGTGTTTGTCATGTGGCATTTGGCATATGCTACCTTGTGTTATGTTGTGTCTTTTTAGTGTGTTCTGTCCAGCTCCTAGATCACAGGGCCTGCCCTTAGTAGCCCTTTGATTCTATATGTGGTACCCTATGACCTCACACATGTTACCCTAGAACTTCTGAGTATATTTAGAGGAGGAGTGGCACATGTGTCAAGCAAGTCTTCTGCTCTCTCATTGTGGAAGAAAGAGTTGCAGAAATAGGCTTTTCTCATTTGTCTCTGGGACATGCAGTAGTGAAAACCATTGTCACTTGTTGCTGTTTGTTTAAAAAATGCTATGAAATATATCTTCTCTTTTTGTTTCAGTTTTTTTTTTAAGGATCATTAGGCCTGTTTTCCACAATAAGCTTTAAGTTTTCCTGGGGACTATGCTTCTTTGATCTTATAACTCCCCCATTCTTGCTGACATGTTCATTTCCTCAGCTTACTCATGGAATAAAAACAAAATCCAGGGGTTTTGACAAAATTCACAGATTTAACTGTTAATATGCACTGAAGTATGTTTTTCAGAAATGCAGTTATTTACAGTAAAAGTTTGTGCTACAAGTTGTCAACATTGGTTTCAAACTATTGGTTCACTTCTTATTTTTTACTTACTATTATTATATTATTATTTATTATTCACTTATTATTATTCAGGTAGCTTCAAACTATTGGTTCACTTAGCTACCAACATTTGTGCCAGAGAAGTCTAGATTCATTTTTTTAATCAGCTAGCTTGAAAATTATACTAATGTTGATGTATTCCATTTTTATTCTTCCAGTAGGTATTATAGCTCATTATTTTCGCTTAACAGAGAATAGCTACCTCTGCCCTGTCCTGACATAACTCATGTAAACCCTCACTGTGGCACTGCTACCAGCTCTTACTGCAGTGCATTAGTGTAACTCAGCTGGGCTTTGCATTAAGATTTCATTTTCCTCATCTCCTGTTTTTCTCCAATTCATAATAGACACAAGTCCAGATAAATCATTTTAATGTGCAGTGCTAATAGATCTCTTTCTTTTTAAAGAGCTCTCCAGTGCTTGCTTAAAGCATAAATTCTTTAGCATCATTCAAAGCCAATATAGATTGGCCTTCCACTGCTGTCCTACATCTACCAGTTGTATTTAAAATATTTCAGGGGAATAAGAGCCTTGCAGGGTATTATGTTGCTGGATTACAGAATCTGGCTCTTGTCTTTTTGAAGGTGTAAAAATACATTCCAATAAATTGTTCTACAGTTCTCTATAGTTCTTCTATAGATGATCAGGTTCTAAAGAACAAACTCATACGTAACTCAGCAAATATCAGAGTGTTGATATATTAACTTAGAGTGATAAATATAATATCAGAGATGCCACAGTTCTCTTGTTGGCTGCTCAGGATATATACTCCTCACAGTACAGTAGGCGAGCTAATTCTAGTAGTTTTTTCCTCCTTTCTTTACACCATACAGATTAGGGCTATGCATTTGATAGTGGCTGCTTTGTTGTTTAAATTTTGGATTTTTAAGATACACTCTGGTCGAGAGTGAACATCGTTCTGAATTTAGTTTCCATCTGTAGCACATTTATATGTCTTGTCCTAAATGGAATTACTTTCTTGAATGTATTAAATACTGTATTTACTGTCTTTTATTTCAGAGGGTGATCTTTTTATGACCTTGTCCTGAAATTCTGGGGATGCCTCTATACTATCATACCCTATATTCTAAATTAGACTACTTGATGTTCTCTAGTTATATCCCTCCCCTCCAGTTTTTTTGTGTTTTTTTTTTTGTCTTCATGTTCTTTCCTCTGTCTGGATTATTAAAATCCTCCCACTTCAATAAGTTCCATGTTGGATGCCACCCCTTCTTGATTTCTTAGACCTGATGTGCTCTTTCTTCCTTGAATTGTAAACCTTTATTGCGCGGCACTATCTTATTCTACCCTGTTTTAAAGTTACTTATTTTATTTTCCCTATGAGGACAGCTTGACATATTGGGTTATTAAATTTTTTTTTTGTTTCCTGTAGTTTCTGATACAGTTAGTAGATTCTCATAAATTGCTTCCTGAATTGAGTTAAATGAAATTTCCTCTTAACTCTAGACTGGTGGCTCTCAAATTGTGGTCCCTATACTAACATTAGCATCACTGGTAACTTGTTAGACTTGCAAATTCTTGGTCCCTAATCCAGACCTACTGGGTCAGACACCAGTGATCTGTTGTTTAACAAGACTTGCATGCTCAAGTTTGAGAACTACTGCTACAGTCTTTCTAAAGAGGTGTTATCTAACTTTATGAAGAGCTTGATCTTCCGTTGATAGGAAATCTGGAATATATTCCAGGACATTAAAGTAATTGCTAATCAAGTGCCTACCACAAGTGCCTACTTCATAAGATTGTAAGGGAGTGCAGAATGGGACAGTGTCTATGAAAGATACAGGATGCTTGCTGTTTACTTCTCCTGGATTGTTCTATCCCCTAGAATGCACTTCACCCACATCCTTCTCATCTTTCATGTTTCAGCTTAAATGCCACCACCTCCAAGTGGCATTGAATATTACTGAACATTAAAGTGGGATGCCTGAGCCATTCTTTTAACCCAGCACCTTATTTATTTCATTTCAAGCACACATTACGATTCGTGATGATTTTATTTGCTTGTTGTTGGTTTCCTGCACTGGACAGTAAGCTCCATGAGGCCAGGAACCCAGCCTGTCTGTCCTATTCCCCCTGTCTTACCAGTGCCTCACACACAGGAGGACTTGATAAATATGTGTTTAAAACAAAAAAAGCAGGCCTGGACGGTATGGCTTAATTGGTTGAGTGTCATCCAGTGCACTGAAAGGTCTCTAGTTCGATTCCTAGTCAGGGCACATGCCCAGGTTGTGGGTTTGATACCCAGTTGGGATATGTGCAGGAGGCAACTGATCAATGTTTCTCTCTTGCATCAATGTTGCTTTCTCTTTCTCCCTCTCCCTTCCTTTCTCTCTAAAATAAATAAAAACATACTTAAAAAAACCCAAAAAACAAAGAAATTAATTGCTAATCATAGTCATAGTAAAGAAATCAGCTGTTTTGTATTACATTTGACTTAAGAAAGGAGGAAAGTGTGAAATACGGATTTTCATTAAAAAGTTATATAAAAGTCCTTTCATTAACAATTTTAGTTATTTGGGAAAATGTTATATTTGGCATTTTCATAATTTAAAAAATATTTCTAGAGTTTTTTTCCTAAACCAATTACATGTATAAACATGTTTTTGCATTTAATTAATTTACGAGGAGTCTAGATCCATATATTTACATTTGCTTACTATCCTGTAACCTATCTACAATCAAATTCAGCTATGGAAATGAAATATTGAGTGTCTTCTGAATTTTAGTTCCTGCAGTTTTTCATTTAGAGCTTAACTTGGGTGTCAATTTTTAAATTATCAAGGGAACTCAACCAGGAAGATTTATTTATCATTATAAAATAGAGATTTTAGCAGAAAAGACCACCTTGCCATGCATGTATATTCTGATGGTAGGCCATGAAGCAAAACATCTATGGGAAAGGTCTAGATGAAACCTTAGAGAAAGAGTTTAAGACAAAAATGTTACTGTCTCCGTGGAACTCAAAAATTGTGTGTATCTACAGGGGCGGAGGTGGGGTTCAGCCACTGACCTTGCTGTTCTTAGTGTTCTGCAGTTACTTCAGTGGCTAGAAAGTCATTAAGAAACCATGACTTGCAAGCCTTCATCTACTTAGCTATTTTTAGGACTTCCAGTTTTAGTAGGCTATTTGTTAGTGAATAATTTAGTTTCTTCTAGGAGATGCAGGTTACTGAAATCTCAGTTAATGGCTTTAAGTATTGAGTGCTGGTTAAAACTTGTTGCTTACTGTGATACTTTTGAAATTATCTCACAATTAATATAGCCATGGGAAAATAAGGAGGAGCACTTATAAAAGGATGCCCTGGTACTACCAGTCTGCCTCGAGAGATGTTCTTACCTTGTGAAAGCTGTTCCTCTAGTCTGTGAAACTTTTGGAGAAAGATGAAATTATATGTTATTGGGGGGAAATTTCCATATTTGGAACTTTATCATCTGGAATTTATATTCATATACATCAGTGGTCTTCAAATTGGGATGTACACACTGTAGGAACTTTGCAAGAAGATCACTGTGATATGGGAAGGACATATTAGAATGTCTTTATTTTAATCTAATTTAAAATGCCTACTTTTTGTATATCTTTAAAAATATATATACATTAGTACATTAGTATATGCACATAATTTGTAAACAAAAGTGCTTATAATGGGCATGTTTACTCAGAAATTTCTGGTGACAGATGTGTTCAGCCAGAAAAGTTGAGACCATTGCTGTATGCAGTAGGTATTAGGTTATGGTAATTAAATTTCATGTGTGTTATTAGGAGGCTTTGGTAAGCACGGCATATTTCAGCTCTTTAGTTTGCTATTCTGTTTATCTGGGTTTCAGTGTGATGGGTAAAGCTGAAAATAAATCCATTAATACTTTTTTGTATCATCAGTAGCTTCTCATTTTTCCCCAGCAGTGTCAGTGTATTCTGAGTAATGTCTCTTGTTAACTAGTCCTTCGAGTAAAACGTGGATAGTGCTTTATATGGTCGTGTTTTTGTTTTTTGTAGCTTCAGGAGCCTTGTCGAAGTTAACTCGTGGATTGAAAGATGAATCCCTGGCTTATATCTATCATTGCCAAAATCATTACTTTTGTCCAATTGGCTTTGAAGCAACCCCTATTAAAGCCAATAAAGCATTCAGGTAAGCATTTCTGTATGTGGATACTTGACCATGAAATGTGTTGTAGAAAGCATTAAGAAATACTTAGTGCTTAGAAACTGCAAGACTTAGTGATTTGCTTTCCTTACATGAAGTGAGATGATTCTTAAAACATTTGAGCTAATTCTTTTGCAGAAGTGCATTTGATTGAATTTTATTTATTTCTTTAACAAAATTATATATTTATTTTAAAAATTAATTTATTAGGGTGACTGAATCCTAGCACTCTTTTCCCTCTATAGCAAGCTTTCTCCCTGCTGGGCTGAGATAATGCTAGGATAGTTAAAGGCAAAGGAAGAAGTGCCCTGAGAATGGTGAGAACAGAAGCCACGAATACTTTGAGTAAAAGTATTGATAGGCAGAGTTCCTCACCCAGCTCAGGTTCTTTTTTCACGCCTAGGTCAGTGGCCTTGGTAATTGAAGGTGAGGAAGAGGTAGCGCTGTTGTCTCAGAGAGTGCTGAGGGTCAGTCAGCCTGGGAGAGTAAGGCTTGGTCATCTGTGGGGTAGGACTGGTTCTTCGGGGCTGCTGGCCTTGCAACCTTTGTATCCCACTCGAGGCACTTGGCAGGGGTTGGGTGGGGGTGGAGGGTTGCTGTGTGGGGGCTGGGGGCCGGGATCCTGAGACAGGCAGGGTCTAGCTGGGAGACTCAGGAAGCTGGACATTGAATTTCTGTGAATGTGGGGTAAGAGGAGAACTACCTGATCTCTCCAAATCCTGAAATGTTTTATTCATCTCTCTGGCGGTGAGGTATGTTGTGTTTCTTATGTGGTTTCACCCTGCAGTGGCACCTTACTCCAGGCATCTAGCACATGTAAAACGTGAAAAAGTAGGTACTTCTACTATGTACCCTTTGGAGGAGAGTTTGTTACCTCTGCCTACACCTAAGAATTACCAGAGATGCTTTTCAAACTGTGCAAATCCTTGCCTGTGCTAAACTCCAGACCTATTTGAATTAGAATTTTCCAGAGAGTGATTAGGGCATCAGTATGTTTAAAAGTTCTACAGGTGAATCACTGCCTTAGGGTTTTATTTTTAGGATGCCTTTTGAAACTTTTTGAATGCATAGTACGAAGAGAAGAGTAGCTGAAGAATTCTGGTAGCATGCTAGGATTGTTTTCCTCTTAAATGCTGAGAGGTAGTATATGTCAACTTTTTTAGCCCTAGATTTTGTAATAGGAGATCAATACCAAAATTTAATTTATGCTTTCTCTTTAATTGTGTTCAGACATTTGCTTAAGCCTAAACTCCAATATCTATTCTAGTGTTAATAAATGCCATCTTTCAATAAACTTTAATATATCTTTTATTAATATATAATTGAAGCATTATTTTCAAGGGAGCAAAAGACCTTTGTTAAACATACTGTATACTGTGAATGTATTTTAAATCTAGCAGGGGTACCCTCTCACCACAAGAAGTAGAATATTGGATCTTAATTGGAGAATCAAGTAGAAAACATCCTGCTATTCACTGTAAAAAGTATGTTAACTTCCTTTGTTTTTTGTTTTTCCCCCCAATTGCTGCTGAAAAATCTGTTGGAATTTTTATAAGAATACAATCCATAGAATCCATAGTTTAGTTTGCAGAGGATTGTATCATAACAATATGGAGTTTTCTAATCTGTGAACATGGACTATACCTCCACTTAATTAGAGCTTTAATTTCTCTCCAGCAATATTTTGTGGTATTTTTCAATATACAGTTTATATGTATTTTGTTAAAATTTTTCTGTAAGTATATTTTTTGATGCTATTGTAAATTGATTTTTTTATTCTCAGTTATTTTCTGGTTGTGTACAGAAAAACAATTGGTTTCCCTATATAGGCCTTAAATTGTGCATCTTTACCAAATGCACTTAGTAGTTCTATTAATAGTTTTGCAATCCAAAGCAATTTGTAATTGCTTTGGATTTTCCACACAATCATGTTGTCTGTAAATAAAAGCATGTTAATATTTAAGTCTTTTGGAAATGTATTTGACTCTTATTAAGAAGCAAATATAGAATGTTTCTACTTCAGCCTGCAGGATGTCATCTAATAGGTTGATATATATATAATTTTTTTTTTTTCATAGGGAGACTAACCAGTTTTAAACTGAGAACCTTGGCAATAGTTGCATAAACAGAATTATCATAAAAAAAAGAGTTTATTAGAGCTTAGTAGGTAGAACAATCCTGAGAAAAGTGACTTATTGCCACAGTAATATTGTAGAATATTGCTCGTGTGAAAAGTTCCATTACAATGGTGTTATGTACTAAAAAGAAAATTGTGCTTTATTCTTCATTCTTAACTATAGATGGGCAGATATTGTTACTGATCTAAATACTCAAAATCCAGAATTTCTAGATATCCGGCACTTGGAGAGGGGGCTACAGTATCGAAAAACCAAGAAGGTAAGAACACCATTGTATTTGAAGGTATTTTCCAGTTGGCCAAAATACAGTATTTTACTCAGCACTCTAGATTGTAAATAATAGAAACCCAGTTTAGACCATCTTAGACAGAAAAGTGAAAATTATTTTAAGGACACGGGTATGTTTAAAACAAAAGGGCAAGGTGTGTAGCCTAAATTCATAAGGGCCTGGTACCAGGTAAAAAAATGTTAACAGGGACCAAGTCACTAGTCTGTCTCATTTTTTTGGAAGTTATATGTTACCTTTTTTTTTTCTGATTATTTAATTCCTGAAGATCATCATTATTTTTATGTCTCTCTTTCAGATGAGCAGTCTAAATTGGGACTGACCTGCCTCAGGCCTAGTTCCATAGTCTTGGCCCAGCTTAGGTCAGGTGTTCACTCCTGAGCCATATTAACTGTGGCCTTGGGGCAAAGCCATGTGTACAAACAACATTACTGGGAGTATTTCTCAGAGAAACGTAGATTCTGTGGATTGAGTAGACATCCCATTGATATAATCCTACTAACAAATGAAGAGTGTGTGGGAGAGGAAGAGGAATGATGGTGTTTGGATGAAGCAGAAGGGGAGGCTAGATTGTATGTGAGTGGCATATGGGGGAAATGTGTTTTGGTTCCTTTGTTTCCTCATTAACTTTCTGAGGATTCTCAATGAAAAGGCAAAAGAGAAAAGACTCAAGAAACTAATCCTTTCTATTGGTGCAAATGGGTGACTTAGTGCATTGATTCAGGATATGACTTTCTTGACTTACTATGTTACTATCAAATATTGACAAAGGTGTGGGCATTGGTATTGTTTTGTAATGGCAGCTGGTCAGGGAAGATGCAGGATAATGTGATCTGATGATGTTTGAAAGGATAAGTACTGTTTTGAGGCAGGTGAAGGGGAAAAAAATAAGGGAATTCATAGGAACAGTTCGTTTCCCATCATTTTCTTCACCCAGCTTTTTTTCCTTCTCAGGTTGGGGGAAATTTGCATTGTATTATAGCATTCCAGAGACTTAGTTGGCAAAGGTTTGGCCTTTGGAACTTTCCATTTGGAACCATTAGACAAGAGTCACAACCTCTAACACATGGCCAGGGAATTGCCAAATCTGAGAGTGAAGACAATATCTCCAAGAAGCATCATGGGCGCCTGGGCCGGTCTTTCAGTGCAAGTTTCCATCAAGACTCAGCATGGAAAAAGATGTCCAGTATCCATGAGAGAAGAAACAGTGGCTACCAGGGTTACAGTGATTATGGTGGGAATGATTGACTATGCCTGGGTACTGAAAACACATGTTGAGCACTGGTCTGTACAGGACTGCATTAAGACAGTAGAAGATTTTATTAAGTCTACATAAAATAGGAACAGATCTTGTGGTACAAAACATAACCCTGTAGTTCTCCAGTAAATAAGCTTGTATATGATTATGATGGGAGATTTCAGATATAGAAGCAGATAAGCACAGATTACTGTCTTTTAAAATTTAAGAGTATATAAACATTCTGGACAATTTAACAAAATCCAGTACAATTACATATAAACAAATACAAATTTACTTAATAACATTACAATTTGAAATAGTTAAGCATGACATGATTTCTTATGACTTGATCTCCAGATGTTTGTTGCAGATAGTTTTATTCCTAAGCTCATGATGTAAGGCACTGTCTGCCCTTAAAAAAAGAAAATGGGGCTGTTGATTCTAGTTTTCTCTCATGGTTAAAGCTCATTTAAAATTATTCGGAGTCTAGTAATTCTTTCACTGTAGCAGTGTCTTACCTGCCTCCTTTGTTTCCTGGTTAACTTTCTCAGGATTCTCAATAAAGAGGCAAAAGAGAAAACACTCAAGAAACTAATCCTTCCTATTGGTGCAAATGGCTGACCTAGTATATTGTTTCAGGATATTCTTGGCTTTCTTGACTTGGTATGCTAGTATCAAATATTGCCAAGAACTTTAGGCCTTGAAAGACTTATGTAAGTCTACAGTATGTTTTAGGCAGAGTAAAAGAACAAGTGGCATCCATAGTTTCTATATCCAAAGTAATCTGTGAAATGAGATCTGATAATTGACTCAGATATGGAGTCACATACTGATAACAGCATTAAAGATGCATTCAGAATACCATGCCACTCAGAGGGCAACTATCTATATTCCAAACTTTGAGCTGTTTCCCTTTTTAAAAACATGTAGACAATTAGTTGTTTGAAGTGAGTGTTAAATAGTTCAGAAAGTGTGAATTTCATGTATTTGAGCTCCTCTGTACTTGCTGTCAATTTTTCTTGTGCCGTCACATGACTCACAAATGATTAGGATCCCTTGTTCTTTCATTTCAGAGGCTGTTCTAGAACTCAAATCAGTAACTTGATTATTACAAGGTGCTGAGTATGTTGGTAACCATATTACAATATCATCTCAAGGAGAAGGTTCAGATTTTTATTTTAAAAATATTTTCATTTTCTCTTTTGAATTTTATATCCATTTATCCACTTAGACATGCCTAAGCCTACAAAAGGGGATATATATTATGAAATAGTAATTTTTCTGAAGGGACTATTTTGCTTAAAATGCAAAGGACTGAAAAAGATTTGTAGGTTGTTGATTTTGTTACTTCATACTGGAACTTTTGTGAAGTTTTCATCAAATAAAGTTTTGTTTTCTACTTTTAATCATGTGAATGTTTTGAACCTGTTTTAGGGAGTATTAAAATTTTGTTTGAAGTACATGATAATTTGTCAGTTCTAAGTAGTGTGTTATAAGAAACCATCTTGTATCTAACTTTTATAATGAATGGACTAGGACTTTTATAATTAATGTATTAGGACTATAATTTTAGATTTCTATAAGACTTTATAATAGGAAATAGGAAATTTAATTCTTATTAGCTTGAAACAATTGAAGTTGTCAGTTGTGTAGGTCAAACATGGTTCAATATCAGCAATTTCACATGGTTTGAATATTTCAGATATGAGAAGGAGCCAAGAGGAAATGAGACAAATGCAATATAAAATATAGAATACAGTGACACCTAAGAAAAGATGGTGAGTTTACATAGATTGCTTATTGGCCATAAACACGTTTTTATAAGTCTTGATATATACAATCACTTAACTTGGCTTAAAAGTTTTTCAGTTATTAAGAGCACACTGAGGTTTACAGAGATGTTTCCAGAAACAATAAGCAAGTTACAGCACACTTCTCTTTCAATATTAGTAACATTCCTGTCAAAAAGGAGGGTCACCTCCTTTTTGGAGTCTCCATAGAAGCACTAAGGTTCAAATACTGGCTCTGCACTTACTAGCTGTTTCGCCTTGGGCAAATTATTTTTTGTGTGCTTGTTTCCTCATTTGTAAAGCGGGATAATAGTACCTATAAATTGTTTTGAATAAGTAAGTCAGTACATGAAGAGTTTTCAGAACACTGCTTTGTAGATAGGAATTGCTATTTAAGTGCTCGCTGTTATTATTCCAGATGTGTATTTTACTGTTCTGAAACTTGAGAGCCCTTTAAACAGTATCTCAAGGAGCCAGTTCCTTGTAAATCAGATAGACACCCCTCAGTTTCTGTTCCTTCAAAAGAATATTTTGTATTTGCTCTGGTTTTAAAAACACTTATAGTATTCACATGTCCACATTGGCTACTTTTTTTTATACAGCTCTCAGATGGTAAAAAATGTTCAGTTACATAAAATCTGGAAACTGTTTGTTTTCTTACTACTATTCCCCATCATTAGGCCAAGCTGGTGCAGCACCTCTAACACTTCCCAACTTGCCTTCTCCGGAACACTGGAAGGGCTCCTGCAAGGTGCACTAGGATATATCACGTTCTGTATCTCAATTTTACCCATAGCGTTTTTTTCCTCAGTCATTCACTCAACAAACTAGGCACTATTACCAAGTAGGTGTTTCATGTTATATCGCTTATCTCAGAACAAATCCAAGATGGTGGCATCTCCATTTTATTCACAGACTCTTATTGGCGAAGAAACTTGCTTAGGATCAAGTATCCTAGGGTATCTTAGTTTGCTAGGGCTACCACAACAAAATACCATAGACTGGGTAGCTTAAACAACAGACATTTATTTATTTTTAAATATAGCTTTATTGATTTCAGAGAGAGGAAGGGAGAGGAGAGAGAGAGAGACATCAATGATGAGAGAGTCGTCATAGATGGGCTGCCTCCTGCACGCCCTGACTGGGGATCAAGCCCACAACCTGGAATGTGCCCCGACCAGGAACTGAACCGCCATCTCCTGGATCCTAGGTCGATGCTCAACTGCTGAGCCAAGCCCTGCCGGGCAAACAGCAGACATTTATTTTTTCACAGTTCTGGAAGCTAGGAGTCCAAGATCAAGGTTTTGACAGGTTTGGTTTCTCCTGAGCCTTTCTCCTTGGCATGCAGATCGCCGCGTTCTTGCTGTGTCCTCACATGGTGTTTTCTCTATGCACATGTCCTTGGTGTCTCTCTGTGTCCTAATTTCTCCTTCGGACCCCAGTGAGATTGAATTACACTCACCCTAATGGCCTTATTTTTACTTCTTCAACATTTAAAAGGCCCCATCTCCAAATACAATCACATTCTGAGTTACTGGGGGTTAGGGCTTCAACACAGTTTTGGAGGGAGACACAGTTCAGCCAGTTAACACAGGGCTATTATGTAGCTCAGGTGGGATCTGGGCTGATGTCTACCTGACTTGGGAGGAAACACATTCAGCAGGGTGCAAGGTGGCCTGAAGAGCATCAGACTAGAGGCCGAAGAGGTCACGCAGACAATTCAGTACTTACGGAATCTCTGCTGAGTGTCAAGACCGGGGGACACAACAGGCAACGAAATAGTTCTTGGTTTCGATAAATTTACAGTCTACTGTGGAGGGAGACAAAAATTGAATCGGCAATTATATTAGTCTCTGTAAAATACAACTAAGAACAATTTCTGGGAATTATCTTATGCTTGTAGAAATGCAAAAAAAAACAGTTTGTCAGGATTATCCTTGATAGACTATTAGTTGTTACTTGGTCAACTAAACATGGCTATTGTGAACCATCTGTTTGGGGATAGCAATGGTTTTGCTAAAAGCTAATTTTTGATATATTTTTTTTTATATCATAAAGCATTCGTTTAACGAATTTACCTGCTCATTTAAATCAGCCTTTTCATTGAGCCTGAATCTAGTTTCAATCGTTCAGATATGAACCAATATGTGTAAGATGATCATTTATTAACTTAGTAGTAAGTTTGCATACAGTCCGCTCTGGTCCTAGCTAAAAGGGTCTGCAAGGCTGGTTTTATGCTCGCTCAGCGAACAGGGGACGACACAAAAGCTCTGAACAAATGTTGCTGGAACAGCGCTCCCGACGAACGCGGGGCGGTCGGGATCTGACCTGCCCCAGGGGTCCAGGGCCACCTCGTCTCCCATTTCTGACCTACAAGCGGTGGAATCCTACATTTTAGATGCCAGAGAAGAAGAAACTGTATTTCAACGATTAATGCTTTAAATCATCTTACTGCAAGTTATCTAGTTACTACAAGTTATCAAACAAATACTTAAAAACACCAACAAAACATCCACCTTTCTGTTCTTGCTTCACATGTAAAACAACACTTAGGATTAAGAGTTTTCACAAGGCCCCGGCCGGCGGCCGGTTAGGGCTTCCTCCCGACACGACGAGGTTCAATCCCAGGTCAGGGCACATAGGAGAAGAGACGAATAAATGCATAAATAAGTGGAACAAGTCGATGTTCCTCTGTTCCTCTCCCTTCCTCTCCCTCTAAAATCAACTTTTACAAAGAGTTTTCACAAGTGGCGGCCTGAGGGGAGCAACCGCGAGTACACACCGCGCATCGCTTCAACGTCCAACAGCGACCGAAGCCAGGGAGGAGGGAGCACAGTCCTAGCGGGACGAGCATCGGCGCCAACCGACGCCTCACTTCCGGGCGCGGCGGCGCGTCCATACAACGTCAGCGCGACACTTCCGCTCTGCGCGCGCATCGCTGCCGACGGAATATGGGAAGCCCCATTTCGCGTGGGTTCCGCGCCCACTCGTGAAGCTAGGCGGTGCCGGAGGGGCGCCTTCAGGCTGTTCTGCTCGCCCGCGCTGTCCTCTCACGCAGGTCTTGCGATAAGAGTGCAAACATTTGGGACCACCCGCTGAGCGACACAGGACGTGCTCCTCCCCGCCCTGGCCGTTCTCTGGTTCCGTCTCTTCAGGCGGCTGTCAGCCGCTGGGAACCGCGCGTTCTTTTCCATCTTTCCTGAGCTGGAGCAGAGCCGCTTTCCCCGGGGTCGGGGCAGTGGTGCAGCCGGTTGCGGAGGAATTGGAATAGAAGGTCTCCCGCGATCCCACCGCGGTGCTGCGCTCTGAAGACGCGCCCGCCTCATGGGAGTCCAGGGCCTCTGGAAGCTGCTGGAGTGCTCGGGGCGGCAGGTCAGCCCGGAGACGCTGGAAGGGAAGATCCTGGCCGTGGGTATCCTTCCCGCGCGGCAGGCGAGGGGGCGGGTCGCCGGGGTTGTACTCCCCGTGGGCCGTTCCCTGCCCGCCCCAGCTCTGCGATCGTACCCCTTCGAATTGGAGTCCTGGTTTGGTCCCCTGGGGGCGGAGCTTCACGGAGCCTTCCGCGCTTGTGTTCTCTCGCCTGGAAGGTGCAGGTGATGGGATCTCCACACAGAAGGGCCGTAGGAGGGATGAAGCGATTACTTAAATGAAGGAAACTTAGAATAGTGTCCGGCACTGTTAATATGGTAAAGTAGTATCCCAGCTGGGAAGTCAGCATGGAGAAAATGAAATGGGCTTCCTACCGGTAGTTTCGCCTACTGTTTTGAGTGCTCCATCTAGGTTTGTTAGAGGAAGGGTAGTGTGGGCAGGTGTTTGACCTTTGTTTCGTTTTGTTTTGTTTTTTAAGAATAGGAAATTTATATGGTACTACAATGCACCGAAAAAAAAAAAAATTTCAAAAAATATATAGTGAATTATTTTGCTCCCAGGGCTTTTTAAGGACTGTTGTTTGTGTGCATGTTTGGCTGGTTGTGTTTGTGGCTTTGGAATAAAATGTTTTTCTTCATTATCAAAACATGAATGCTGTTTTTGAAATTTCAGTCTTTTTACTTGTTAAGCATTCCTTTTCCCTTTTTTTTTTTTTTTTTGGAGTGTCTGTTCTATAAGCGGGCGGTAACATGTTCCCTAAATGGGAACCTATAAGTAATATTATAATAATTATTATATTTTTTGCAATGTGAATAATCTTGGAATACATCAGTAATGGGTTTGTGTTTACAAGTGCTTATGCAGGATACCTTGGGGACACGGGGAAGTTTGGGTGGCGGTGTTTTTTTAAAGCATGTGTCGTATTGCTGCCCTCTAGTGGTTCCTCAAATCACTGCTTTGAGAGCAGTTTTGTCAGGGGAGCCCTTAAAACTGCTACGAAGACGTAGGCCATTTTACATTGCAGCCCTTATGAAGAATTAATTATTTATAAAGTCATTGAGATGACACATGAAGTTCTGCATTCCAGTTTTTTAGGAAGTTGTCCAAAGTAGGGAAAGGCAAAGCATTTAACTTAGATTATCTATTTTCAGAAGTCTCAGAAGCTCTTTTTGGACATGAAATCATGTCCATTGTTCTGGGACTCAGGGTAGAGCTCCGGAGCAGACTTACACATGTTTTCATGGGGTTTTGGGACTTTTTTGAAAGAATCAGTCATTTAAAAGGACTGTCACAGAGACTCAAGTTATAATGATAACCTCATATATATGTATGTGTATGAGGTTATTATAACTTGAATATCTTTGATTGGTCCTATAATTGATTTTGCTTTGTTTATTTTCAGGGGAATTCAAATTCACATATCTGAAATACATTCAGATTTTTTTGTTGTTTTGTAAAATTACCCAAGACATACTAGGTTCATAGTTTACTCTTAGGTCCCTAAAATAAATTGGTCTTTTTCCATTCCATAGCCAAGCGTCTTGCTTATTTATACAATCTAAATGTTTGTGTCAAATAATAAAGAATAATTTAACTTGGCTCCTATGGGCCTTAACATTGGTAAAATGCAGAAAAGTATTAGCAAAATATTATTTTCTCTAGTTTGAAATGTCTGTGAGGCGTGAGATAGAGATGTTAACTAGGCCGTTGTTCTGGGACTCGGGGTAGAGCTCTCGAGCAGACTTACACATGTGGAAAGTATGTGGTGTGCCCCCCCCAGGTAGCCTGGGTGGAAAGGAGAGGAGGGCCTGAGAGAGATCATTACTGAAGTCAACACTTAAATGGTGAGTTAGAAGAGCTGGCAAGGAGATTGAGAGCATGCCATGTCATGTCTGTCTGTCTTATAGACAAATAGAAAAATAATTAGTTGAAAAGTATATTTTAGAAAAGTTTAAAAACATAAGACTACTCCAGGAAGGAAATACGAATTACATGTAATCACAGCAGAGATAAGTCATCCTAGTATTTTGATGTCCAGACTTCTAGCTTTTTATATTTAACATACTGCATGTTATAAAATGGAATTATATTTTCCATACTTTTAGAACCTGTTTTACTTCTTTTAATAATATTTTATGACTATCTTACCACTGTATATGCTTCTGCAACTTACATCTTTAAGGCTTCCTTGGTATTCCAGCAAATCGGTATATCATAATTTAGTTTTTAAAAAAAGACCTGTTGGAAACTTAAATTTAAAATATTTTCGTAATTATAAACAAAAAATCTTATAAGTAACTCTTATTGTAAACCGATGATAATTTCCCAAGGATAAATGTCTGGAAGTGAAATTTTTAGGTAAAATAGGGTACAGGCTAAATTTTTTGCTATGAATTGTCAAGTTGTTCTCCAGAAGAATTGTAATTTCCTACAAGTCTGTAGAGATGATGAGATTTTTTAATACAGCTTTTTTTTTTTTTTTTTTTTTTTTACAATTAGACTTCTTAAAATTTTAAAATTCAGTATGTGAATAGTAATAGTTCAAATAGAGTTAATTGGTTTTAGGTAGATTCCATTAGGGCTAAATATTTTTCAATTTCAAATGAATTGTGATGAGTCCTTAGTGTCAATGTTTGGATAATACCAGTTATTAGGAATTTGAAATTGGGAGGATGAGGAAAGAAATTCCAAAATGGTTTTCATTAACAGCTCTTCTAGATATTAGCATTTGGTTAAACCAGGCGCTTAAAGGAGTCCGAGATCGCCATGGGAACTCAATAGAAAATGCTCATCTTCTCACTTTGTTTCATCGGCTCTGCAAACTCTTATTTTTTCGAATTCGCCCTATTTTTGTGTTTGATGGGGATGCTCCACTATTGAAGAAACAGACTTTGGTAAGAGTTATCGACTTTTTTCTTTGCACATTCTTAGAAAGAAAGAAAAGTTCAGATAAAATTTTAATTTTCTCTCTACAGTATATATCCTGTTTAATTTAAATTATCTTGAACAAATAATCACTTTTTCTTTTAAAAAAGGTTTACATATGAGACTATAACATGGATGCAATTTAACTTTTAATAAAAATACTAAAATTGTTACAATTGAGAGTTTATCCTTTAGAGTATCTTCTTAGTTGTTCTACATTTGTTCCAGTTATGTTGCTATTGCTCAGAGCATTATAGAAAACATACAGGGGGAATGCCTCCCTGAATCTGAGATTGAGGATCCTCCATGATAGTGAGCATTCTTTTAAAGGCGAATTTTAGTAGTGAGCAATGTTATGTGTCGCCAAGTTTGACTAAATGGGTATAAAAGAATGAGAATGAGTTTCTTTATCCTGAAATTAGTTTTAAAAGTGTTTGAACAATATTGTGAATTTCAGAGTAATTGGATATATGATATTTATATGTTGAAAATGTCAGCTCATCACCTTGTAATCATACCAGACAGATACTGTCTAAGTGAGGACATAGGGTGAAAGTAAGGATTTGCAAATGCTCAGTAAAAGATCTAGACTTAATGTTGTAGTTTTTAATTATTTAAGGCATACTCTGTATCAGGTAGTCTTTGGAAGGATTAGCAAGAAAAGGAGAACTCCAGAACTTACTTACCTACTGGTTGTAAGTTTGTATGTACCCCTACACAACACACCCCCAATCCTCCCACTCCTGATAAAGGAGCTAGCTCTACCTTGCAATCATATTGCAGCATATAAATGTATCAAACCAACACACTGTATGCTGTAAACTATGTTACATGTCACTTACATCTCTGTTTCAAAAAAGGAAAAGGGTGTTTCGGTATTTCTGTCTTACATTCAACCCTAAGCGTGGGAACTACTCCATTTTCCCTACTTAGACGTTTCTTACAAGGTATTCCAATACATTTTAGGATTTCTTATGACATAATCTTGAATATTGAAGGACGGTAACAGATATATAAGTAGTGTATTTTTATAAAAACCAATATCAGAAATGGATTTTGGCATAGGAGTGGCATTTTAAAGAAAAGTTAGTTAATATAATCCCTTTTGGGAAGCATTTACTTAATTATATATCATTAAGTTTTAGGCTTCCTGAGGATGCTTAAAAGAAATTGAAAGTTTAATAGTTTTCTAAATATATAATAGCCAGGCCATTAAATAAGAACTAGATGAAGACTGGATTTCCTTTACATATGAGAAACCTGGAGATACTCAGTGATATGGCAATTATAAGACAGGCTAAAACAGCGATAGTCTGAAAACTCAGAAAACCAGATTCTATAGAAAAAAATCACAGATGTGTTTAATATACTAATACCTGCAGTAAAATCTTGTGTCTATTCTTTTCACAGGCTAAGAGAAGGCAGAAAAAGGACTTGGCAACCAGTGACTCCAAAAAAACTACAGAGAAGCTTTTGAAAACATTTTTGAAAAGACAGGCTATCAAAACTGCATTAAGAAGCAAAAGGCAAGAGGGAAATTACATTAATTTTAAAGATTAATTTAAGCCTTTTTAATTTTTGCATTGGATTCCTGTGACTGCCTTTTCCTAATTTTATCTCTAAGCAGAAAATAGAGGGTGAAATGAGAGGAGTAAGTGGAATGTCCCTTTGACGTAGTTACTTGAAGCTGTGGTAATTCTCTGTTCTGTGTGAATCAGGTTTGACAATGGGAAAGGGAAGCTGCAGTGTTGCCCTGCATGCACCTTTTACTTTTATAAGGCTCTTTTTCGTGCCTGCACTGGAGGTTGTGACCCAGGTGCTGAGCAGCTGCAGCAAGTTTCCTTTTTCTCTAGGCTGTACTTAGTTTTCACAGCAGAGGCCTGGGCAGCCAGTGCCCCTGTGTTCCCCCCTTTCTCACCTCCTCAGCATGGGTTATGTAGTCCATGGGGGAGTACTACCGATTCAGAGTACTATTTCCTATCGTCTCTGTTTAAGCCTGTGTGTACTTTTCAGAGATGAAGCACTGCCCAGTCTTACTCAAGTTCAAAGAAAAGATGACATCTATGCTTTGCCACCTTTACAACAGGAAGAAAAAAATAGGTAAATGTTTATTTATTTTAAAAACATTTATTACCACTGTCTTCAGACAGACTTAAACCTTTATGGTTTATCTGCATGCTAAGGAATGTGGGAAGAATGCATCTAAAATATGCATTCTTGACACCATTTAGAATATTTTTCAAAACTAAATTTTTTATTAATAACTTGTCTTTGTGTTTTGGTGGTTTGTGATGTTTTTTTTTTTTCATTCTGTAGAGCCTGTGCTAGGACTGCTGATTTATAATTCACAAAGACATGAATTTAGTTTTTCCTATACTTTGATTACACCTGCTGTCTTTATCTCTTTTACAGCCTAATGTCTTCTCCCTCACGTCGCCATGCTAAAAGACCGCATATGACAACTTCCTTGCTAAATCCAGTAGATGTTTTGCAGTTCTCAGTTTAACATGGTGCCTGCTGAGAACCCCTCTGGCCAGTCTTTCTCAGACTCCTTTGTGGATTCTTTCTGGTTGGCTGTTAATTGTCAGCAGCTTCTGTGGTTGAAGACCAGTTTGAGTGTGCCCTTCACCTGCCCCCTTTTCTTTCTGTGGGGGCTCCTGAGAGGTTAGGTCACTTCTGGATCAGCCCCGTTCTCTTTATCTTCACCACTGCCACTGTAATGTTGTCTTGAGGTTACTGTACTGGCTTCCAAATTTCTTTCTGTCTCTGATCTTACCCTTTTGTAGGAACCCCTATCGGCCAAGCCCAATCTCTGCTTTGTACTGTAGAATCTGTTAAATCCCAAATCTGATATTGTCATTTCCTTGCTTAAAATACTTTCTAGCTCTCTCTTTTTTTTCTTGTTAGGATAAAACTTCCACCCTTTAATCACATGCTTTTCTAAACATTGTAATTGCTGGAGATTCCAGACAGCTTTTATGACATCCCAAATTTGGGTGAAGTGACTCTTTATTGTACTTTTGGCAACCTGCTCTTCCCATGTGATGGAAGTTCTTAGATCATACAGTGATTGCTCACGTACTGTGTCCCCACCAGACCGTGAGACCAGTGATGGCACACATCTTGCCACCTTGTTCGCCATTGTATCCCCTATAAGTAGCAGCACCTTGAACTCAAGAAGTATTTTGTAGGTGGTCATTAAATCACAGATACTGTAAATATATGTTTGACTTTCAGTTCAGAAGAGGAAGATGAAAAAGAATGGCAAGAAAGAATGAATCAAAAACAAGCATTGCAGGTACTTAAATAATTTTCAAATTCAGATTTATGCTGTTATTTGAAATGAATGGCATTAAAATGAATAATTTTAATGAGGCAGTATGAATTTATGAAAAGTTTCTGATGAAAATTAAGACAGGTGCCTTTTTTATTGTGTGTGTGTATGTGTGTGTTATATATGCATGTGTATATATGTGTGTGTAAAGTACACGCACATGCATACACATACATGGAATTATGCATACTAGATATCTAAAATAAGCCATTTTTCTTTTATAACCTACCAACCAATAAATAAATATAGCTATACATGCTTGTGTAAAATACAGAACACATACCATCCACAAATAACTTCTAGTAACATTTCGGTATATATTAGGCCATCCCCCATCCCTCCTATGGTTGAGTGTGTGTGTATTTAGGTATGTGTACATGTATACATACGTATGTAAGTATATGTCTGTGTATGATATGCTATGTAACTTAGTCGGTTGAAAATGGTAATTTATTATCATCGTCTCTTACTGTTCAGGGGTTGATGAAGTCAGTGAGGCAGCTGCCTCTCAGTGTCTCCTGTGTAGGTGCAGTCAGACTGTAGCTGGGACTAGGGTCTTCTCAAAGGCCTCCTTACTTGCATGTCCGCATGTCCAGCAATTGACGCTGGTTGTCAGCCAGAATACCTGCCCATGGCCTCTCCACATGGCCTGAGCTCTTTCACAGCATGGCACTGTTCCAGGGCCAGGCTTCCTTTTCTAGCCAGCTTTGGAGGTTGTGCAGCACCCCTTCCACCACATTCCGTTCCTTACAAGCTAGTTAAGACCAGCCCGTATTTAATGCAAGGAAAGTTAGACCAGATGAGGGATAGAGAACCTGAGGATATGCTTTAATATCTTTTAAAGAGTAACGTCTTTATTGTAGGGAAAGTGAAAACACTTAGGCTTTCTCACCACCTTTTCATGGCAGAAGGCTGCAGTTATGTAACCATGTTATAACATAGTCATAACAGATGCCCTGTTACCTGACTAGTCTGACCCATTGTTGGCTGAGAGCCACTATTGTCCTGGTTCCTATAAGACTGGCCCAGGGACTTTCAGAGGTATGGATTGTTCCCAGGGGTTTGCGGTTTGTCCCGCAGGGGTGTGGTTTGTCCCCTGTGTATACTCCGCTGGCTGCCACTAGGACGAAGAAAGTGGATTGTTCCCCCTGGGCAGTTTGTTCCCTCTGGGTGGGTTTGTCCCCCAGGGTGTAGTGTGTCTCCCATGTATGCCTGGCTGGCCACCACCAGGAGAGAGTGTGGGTTTGTCTATCTTGTACATTTGGCCTGCCCGAGACGAATAAAGTAAATGTCTCATCCTCCTTCAGCTCCAGGTGAGGTGGCTGCCCTGACAGAAGATTGTGGCCATTACACTAGGCATTACATTTACAAATTGAGGTTATACTGTATATACAAGTTTTTGAAAAATTTCTCAAGTTTCTCAAAATAGCAGATAATATTCTTTGGTTCCCAAGTTTCTTATATCTTTATATGATTTTGGTACATCTGATCAAAGACTTTTGAGGAAAAACTGTGTGATCCCTCAACTTGTGGAGGTTCTGCATTATTAATATAGCAAGTGATAGCTGTCTTGGTAAAGACCATGAACCTTGTGGTCAGAAAGATCTTCACTTAAGTCCAGGTTCTACTGTTAACTAGCTATTGGATCATAGACAAATTAACTTCTCCAAGGCTTTATTTTCTTTTTTTGTAAACAAAAATAATATCAAAACCTTCCTCATAGGGGTGATGGGAGCACTAATGAGGTAAAGCATGGGAAGCTCTGAGCAAAGTAACTGGTCTGTTCTAAGTGCTTACTGGTTTGCACAATGCCCACAACATATATACATACAGGAGAGCAAATTGTATTATTTTCTTTGCTGATGAAGAGTTCTAAAGTACTTTTCGTAAAGTACTTTTAGTTAAAATTTAGAAAAGTTTTAGACTTTTCCATGTTTATGAAATTTCTCACTTTTAATTTTAGGTTAAGAGCAAAATAAAATTAATGTAATTAAGGGAATTATAAATATTGTTTAAATTCATAAGGTTCATCCCTACCTCAGGGCCTTTGCACTTGCTGTTCCCTCTGGCTGGAATGCTCTGTCCTTGAGCAGGCTTTTTATTATCTTTCACATCACTGCTCAAGATCATTTTTTTAGTGAGGTCTTCTCTATCGAATTTTTTTCTCTTTCTATTCTTTTTTTTTTAATCCTCACCCAAGGATATGTTTTTATTGATTTTAGAGAGAAGAAGGTGGGGGAGAGAGAGAGAAACATTGATGTGAGAAAGAAACATTGATCATTTGCCTTTCGTACGTGCCTGGAATGGAAATTGAACTCAAAACCTTTTGGTGTATAGGATGATGCTCCAACCGAGTTCTTCTAATCAACTCTCTTTTCAGAAAAGCCTGCTTTATTTTTTCATCATTGTCTTGTTTATCACATGTCTTCCTTCACATGTCTTCCTTATCTGGCATGATCTCCATAGTACCCTAGCACCTAGAACAGTGCTTGGCACATTAGAGGTTCCTGTAGGTAATTTTTCTATTGAATGAATGAATGAGTGAATGAGTGGATAGGTACATTCTCTAATCTGCCATTCACTTTGATGCCTATTGCAGATTATGTACAACTATGTTTTGCCTTTTGTAGATTATGTAGAACTCTATTTATGATATAAGCACAAAAAATATCTGTCATGGTGAATAACATTAAGTGTATGAAATGCTAATTTCGTGGTGTTATGTTTTACTCTTTACAGGAAGAGTTCTTTCAGAATCCTCATGCAATAGATATTGAGTCTGAAGACTTCAGCAGCTTGCCCCCTGAAATAAAGCATGAAATCTTGACTGATATGAAAGAATTTACCAAGCGAAGAAGAACATTATTTGAAGCAATGCCAGAGGTAAAATATATAACAGCACATTAATGTGTAGAATTGAGAACTGCAACAACATTTTTCATTAGAAAAAAGAAAATTGATAAGCTTTACTTATACAGTATGTTTCCAGTAGACCACATTTGTGTATCTCAGAGGTCCTATGAAGCATCATATATTTATAAGTTTGAACTTATAAATATTTACTCAAAGAAGGGTTTCTTGATTTTTCCACCCAAGATCAGATCTTGTCTCCTGCTTTGTGTTCTCATAATACCCTATAACTTCTCTTTATACTTTTTAGCACTCAAATGTACCTATCTTGCTCACCTCTGTATTTTCAGCACCTAGCTCAGTATCTTTCACATAGTAAGTGCCCATTATATGCTTCATGGTTCAGTTCTTAGGTTAGTTCATAAAAGTTATTTTAACCCATAATATTCATTGTAGAATACTAATAGTAATGTAGAACCTAATCACAATGGAAAAGTTTGTTCTAATTGGAAATTCCATGTATCTCTTCCTCTGCTACAAGGCTGGAATGCAGTTTTATCTCCATGTTCTCTCTTCCTGTTCCTGCACAATGGTAGTAGAGAATTTAGTGGTAAATTCTTCAAATTAGAGCATCTGATAGTGGCTTCACAACCACAGAAACCCTGAGCAGGGTGGTGTGCAGAGTTGGGTTTGGTTGAACATGTGTCCTGATCTGTATTTAGTCAGTGAATGAGTTTTATTTTCCTTTCTATTACTACCACCTATTATTTTTAACATTGTTCTTCTTTAACTCACTGTAGGACAGAAAATAAATTTTTGCAGCATTATTATTCCTAATGAATGGATTTGGTATTATTTTTTCTATAGACTTTTGAACATTTCTTAAATTGATAACAAAATATGAAAGAGGCCGGAGATACTTCTTTTTCTATCACTCCTTTCTGTTTTTCCATGAAGAATGTGAACACAGGAAATCGCTAAGATATACAGAAATTATATACAAAGGGCAGGAGTAAATTTATTTTTATTTCAGGGGAAAAATCCAGGCTCAGTCTATCAATCAAAGATTTTATTTCTTGAGTGTGAAAGGATCTTTGACTGGTCTTTGAGGAAATAGAATTTGGATTATGTAAACAACAGTGGAAGGAATGGGAGAAACAGAGACAGTCCCTAATGATTTGTCCCACTTGTTTCTCTTTCTGCTACCACAGAGCCTCACGGATTGGTAAACTAGGGTAGTACGGTGCAGCAGCTCAGTGGATCTGTAATTCTGATAGCTAAGGGAAGTTCTGAGTGACCCAGGCTGGGCCATTGTATCATCTGTACATTGGGCATATACAATATTGATAATACAATGATGGTAAGAAGAGTAATAGTAATAATCATAATAGTAGTAGAAGCAATATAGTATAAGGGTTAATCAAAAGATCTACTTTTGATTCCAGGTCTACCACTTACTAGCTCTGTGGTTGTAGGAAGGGTACTTAGCCTGTTTAAGTCTCAGTTTTTTCAATTTTAGATTGGAGATAATGTTATTTTCTCATCAGTGGATGAAAATAAAATGGGATAGTATATATAAAAATACTTAGAAGAATGCCTTACACAGGAAATGCTTTGCAAATGTTAACTATTATTATTAATAACTGTGGTTGCTAAGATTTATTGTTTATCTTTTATGGGCCAGGGACTATGCTGCACACTTTACTTGCCTATTTACTTGCATTCTAGAAAGTTGTCTCATTTATTAAGCCATAATCAAAATGTCACAGTGCCTGACATACATCACATGCTCAATCCATGTTTTTTGAATGCAGGTTAAATCATGAACAATACTCATGCTTTCTTTTGTTTTGTCCAATTCTTTTTGTTTCAAAGACTATCTTATAGTTTTCCTAAGTGTTCAAATTTTACTTTTATAATATGAAACTACCATCAATGAAAAAAGTCAATTGCTCTATTTCCACCTGCTGGTAAAGAGATGGATGTATGGTAATATTAGATGTATTTAATATAAAAATTTATTTTATTTATTTTGCTTTAGGAGTCCAATGACTTTTCACAATACCAGCTCAAAGGCTTACTTAAAAAAAACTATCTAAATCAACACATAGAAAATGTCCAAAAGGAAATGAATCAGCAACATTCAGGACAAATCCAAAGGCAATATGAAAGTGAAGGGGGCTTTTTGAAGGAGGTGGAGTCGAGAAGAGTGATCTCTGAAGACACTTCACATTACATCTTGATAAAAGGTATTAATTAGGCTCCATCATTTATTTGATAGTTAAAAGCCAAAAATATGTTGAGTCTCTGAATTCTATAAACTACCACCCCTGGATGATATTAATGAAGCCCTACTTACGTAATAATAATTGTGTAAAGTTATTAATGGATTACCTTCCTTAGTGGGTTGTACCAACCCACTTTAAAATTAATGAGTTAACACTTAATTGCTGATTAAATGAAAATGTGTAACTTCATTTATGAGAACCAGTATACTCTTATTCATATTACTAGAAATATATTATTATACAGAAATCTACGTAGTGAGAATGTTTTACTTTTTCTTAAGGTATACAAGCTAAGAAAGTTGCAGATGTGGATACAGAGTCTTTTCCATCTTCCAGCAAAATGCACAGCTTGTCTTTTGACATAAAGTCATCTCCATGTGAAAACCTGAAGTCAGAGAAAGAGCCTGATGCTACCCCTCCTTCTCCAAGAACTGTACTGGCTATGCAAGCTGCCATGCTGGGAAGTAGTTCCGAAGAGGAGTTGGAGAGTGAGAATCAAAGGCAGTACAACAAGAGGAATGCATCTGCTACTGTAGATGAAGGCTCCGTATCACCACTGACTCTCTTGGCTATTCAGAAAGCTCTTGATGATGATGAAGACGTGAAAGTGCATGCTGGGAATGATGTGCAGACGGGAGGGTCAGTAGCAAAAAAAATGTCTATGAATAGTTCTGATGAAACTGATGAAGGACTTAAAATGAGAGATGGAAAAGGAATGCTGTTGATAACAGTGCCTCATTCAACCCCTGTGAACTTTGTAGAGGAGCCTGTGACCAGCATTAATGAAAAAGAGCAGGCAGACTCAGCTCCTTTGTCAAGTACTGTCTTTTGTCAAGGCAGTGAATCTAGCATTCCAAAAGAACAAACATCATTTGTTCACATGGTTAATGAAGCCTTTCAGACAAGTGATGAGCCTACTGTTAATGATAGGAAAGATCCAATTCCTTTAGAAAATACAGTGGTTATACACATGGGCGCACCAGAGCTCCACAGTGGAGGAGAACTGACAACACCTCCTGTAAGTTCAAGTTCTATATCAAGGAATGAAACATATACCAAAGTGCTTGAGCTACAACAAGATCTTTGTCCATCTGAGAATAAATACGATTCTTCTGTTCTTTCAAGTGATGATGAAACAGAATGTGAAAAAAATCCTGCTTCTGAAGTTATCGATACTGTCAGTTTGCAGGAAACGAGTAACACACTAAGTGTCCCTTCAGAAGCAATAAGTAACTTAAAAAATGTTAAAGAGCATGAGAATTTCTTGAACACCATTGAAGAACGTGAGACGATGGAATCTTCAGGCCAGGATTTAATTTCACCTCCAAAGTCCACAGAACCAACGGAAATTGACTCTGAAGAAAGTGAATCTGATGGTGGGTGCTTATTCCATTTTAGAGATAAGAATGGTGGGATTTCACATTTGTAGAAACTGAGAGATCCTTTAGTATGGGCCACTTCCCACTCTGTTCAGGTGATGACCTAGAGACCCGGAAAGGTGAAATGATTTTCCCAAGGAAACACAGCTAGTGATGGAATCTTGACCTTTCCTGTTTGCTGTTCTTTTTGTTATTATTTTTAAAGGGAAGGAATACCCTAGTTGGAGAAGATAAACATGAGTTTCCTTTTAGTGTTTTTACCTCTTTATTTTTAATTAATTACAAACTTAAGAAAGTCGAGCGTATTATAAAGCATTCTAGTTCCTTCATCCAGTACCTCAGTGGCTAGCATTTTACCACATTGGCTTTATCATACCTTTCTGTCTGTCTCTCTCTATATGTGCACCTGTGCATTATATATCTATATCTGTATACAGTTCTATACAACCAATCATCATTAGTCATAGATTCTGTATTTGCAGAACTTGTTTGTAACCCCCAAATCAGCACTCACTGCACTGTCTTTGTGATCATTTGTGGACATGCATAGAGCAGCTAAAAATTTGAGTTGCCACACCGTTTCCAGCTATGGTTGAGCAAGGTGACACTCTGCCTCCTTGTTTTAGCTCTCCTACAGAGAAGACCAGACGGTGGAGATGAGAAAGAGCAATACAGTATAGATCAAGAAACTCTGGCTCTAGGGCCAATTGGACAGGGTTTGAATCCCAACTCTGGCAGCAGTTAGTAGGGTGGCTTCAGGCAATCTCTTAACACTCCTGATCCTCGTTTTCTTGTTAGAAAACAACCAAGTGGGCTGTTTTTAGGATTTTAGATTATAAATAGATTTCCTCTAGGTGCAAAGATTCAGTACTCATGTATTTAGTGTTCTCAATGACTTTATTTATAGAACATAACTGCTGCAAATCAGAAGAAACAACTATGCCCCCCTCTCCCCACAACACACAACACACGCACACGCACGGTAATTTTTTTCCTGGTGTCTGCCAGGTTTCTCCACTTTAAAGTTGCTATTTTCACTTTGTAATTAGTAAGTATTTTATAGAAAGGAATATTAGGGGCTATATAAATGTGCTGTTACTGAACAAAACTTCACCCACTTGTTTTAGCATCCATTGATGGTTTTTACCTGAATAAATTATGCTATGATGTTTGCCAAATGATGGTTTTCTATATATTGTTTCTTATATATTGTTGGTGTCTTACTATAAGGAAGATCTTCCCTCCATTTATTATTTTTTTGTATCAGTCTAAACTCATGGACTCCTATTTTATTTAGTGAGTTATGGTACTACCATACTTTGTTGCTTGAATTGTAGCTTTGGCCAGTGGCTAGTTTGTCCCTTCAAGCTGGTTTCTGTGACTTTTGACAATTACCCATTATATTTTGAGCATTTTTTAGCTTTCTGGCTAAGATATTCCAGGTTTATCTTATACTTTCCCTGCCCTTCCCTGAAGCCAGCCATTTCTTCAAGGAGCCCTGGTTCCTTGTAATGTCATGGTGCTTAGAAACCAAGATCTGGGCACTGAGTGTGCTCACTGTTATCTGGGGTATCATTGCTTCAGGCCTTCTCAGCAGCAGAGCCAGAACATATGTTTATATACACACATGTGCACACACTTGTCTACTTTCTTTCTATATATTAAAATCCATAAATTCATACTGATATCCTAGGTTTCATTCTAGCCTCCACTTTTTTTGTAATTTCCCTTTCTAACACATACCTTGCTCCCATTATCTTCAATATATGTACTTATTTGCTTATTCTCTCTCTATTTGTAACCATCTCCTGACACCATTGGCGTCCTCCTTGGCTTAGGCTGTCTGCTCACTCCAGGCTGCAGGCCCTAAGAGCCCCTGCCCCCTCCATCCTGATTGTGTCCTCAGACCCAGCCCACTCTGCCTGAAGGGGAGGAAGGGAATCAACACATTGCTTAAAGAAAAGACAAGAGCCCGGCCGGGTGTGGCTCAGCGGTTGAGCGTTGACCTGGGATCCAGGCGATCGGGGTTCGATTCCCGGTCAGGGCACATGCCCGGTTTGCGGGCTCGATCAATGACTCTCTCATCATTGATGTTACTCTCTCTCTCTCTCCCTCTCCTTTCCTCTCTCTGAAATCAATAAAGATATATTTAAAAAAAAAAAAAAAAGACAAGAGAGGAGGGAAAGAAAGTGGAAGAGAAAGAGCTCTTGAGTACTTATCCAGGATTTTTTCCCACTAAGTCACAGCTTTATTCTTTGTATGTTCATAGTGAAATTGCATAAGAACTTATTTAGCAACATCCATGATTGTTTATGTACCCCAGTAATTCTCCTTTTTGAATTTTACCACAGTAATAGTTAATTTAAAGAAGATATTTTATAAAGTTGATATGTAAATCTTTGAAAACTTGGTTCCTAATTTCAAAGACAGTGTCAGTTTATTTAATTGAAAATACTTATTTTGAAGTTATAGGCATCTATTATTAAATTTATTTAAAAGTGATATGCTACCCAGCCGGGCGTGGCTCAGCAGTTGAGCGTCGACCTGGGATCCAGGCGATCAGGGTTCGATTCCCGGTCAGGGCACATGCCCAGGTTGCGGGCTTGATCAGTGACACTCTCGTCATTGATGTTTCTATCTCTCTCTCTCCCTCTCCTTTCCTCTCTCTGAAATCAATAAAGATTTAAAAATAAAATAAAATAAAATAAAATAAAAGTGATATGCTATTGTTGCATGTTTTCTATTACATTTAGGTCTTTTTAGGGTAAACAGTTTTTTAGAATACTTTGGAAAGCCATTGATGATTTCAGGATAATTTTAATGTTTCAGTTGTAGATAAAGTGACCTCGTTATTTTGGTACAGGAAGTTTCATTGAAGTACAGAGTGTAATTAGTGATGACGAACCTCAAATTGAGTTAGCGGAAGCTTCCAAACCTCCCTCTGGACGAGGTGAAGAGGAACTGACAGGAACTACGAAAGAAGAAGCAACTGGTGACTCTGAGGGCCCTCTAGGAGACAGCTCTGAAAGTGAGCCCTTGGGTATTGAGCAACATGAAGAAACTGAAAAGGATGCAGATGATTCGCTCAATGAATGGCAAGATATTAATTTGGTAATAATATTACATCAGGCTTTAACTTACTGCTGAGAAAGTCATGTTAAGTAGCTTTTGAGTTTTAAGGAGTTACTGGATGAATATTAGCTTTGGGCATGCATTTTTTTGTTCTTGCTGATGGTTCTTTAAGATTTTATGTAGATTATTGTCTGGGAAAGTCTGCACTTTCAATGTGATTTAAGGAGGGAACTCTAAAGATATTACAGACTTGCTCAGAAATCCAAGTGGAAAACTTCATAAGGGGAAAAACTTATTGGTAATTTCAGTCAGGTTAAATGTAGGCTTTTGTAACAAATGAATTTAATTGGATTATTAGTATAATTATCTACAGGTGAAATTATTTTGTAGGAGGAGCTGGAAACTCTGGAGAGCAATCTTTTAACACAACAGAATTCATTGAAAGCTCAAAAACAGCAGCAAGAACGGATTGCTGCTACTGTCACAGGACAGATGTTTTTAGAAAGCCAGGTAGGTATACCAACTTGGACCTCTTTTAATAATATACCTACTGATATTTTTACTCAATTAGATTCCCTGAGGGAATGCATTAAATAAACTGTTTAAGCACTCCTCCCATTTCTGGGTCAAGGCCAGCTACTGCATTTCAGTAGTGGTCATTGTTTACCTATAACGCTTTAGGAACTTCTTCGCCTGTTTGGAATTCCCTACATTGAGGCTCCCATGGAAGCAGAGGCTCAGTGCGCCATTCTGGATCTTACGGATCAAACTTCGGGAACAATCACTGATGATAGTGATATTTGGCTGTTTGGAGCACGGCATGTCTATAAAAACTTTTTTAATAAGAACAAGTTTGTAGAATATTACCAATATGTGGACTTTCACAATCAGTTAGGTAAGACTTCAAAATATGATTACTTTTCTGAAATTTACCTTCAGAATTTGTATTAGTAATTTTTTCATTCTAAGGAACTAATTTGATGCATTAATGGAACTGGTAGGTTTGTACAAATTTTCACATAAGTAATCTTTTGCTTGTTAGAGGAATAGGATTTTTAAATTAGAATTAAGAAATTAAAATCCCAGTATGTTTCTGTGTTTTCTGCAATTTAATAATCTGACCTGCTTAGACTTTGGTTCCCTGAGATCTTGGGAGTGAACCAAAGGTACTAGAGAGGGGAGGCAGGTGGGAGTCTCTCCTGCTGGAATCATGAACCTCATGGGCCTATACTGGTGTTACTGGCAGTCTTTCATTCTCCCATGTACCCAACAAGTATATATTGAGTGATTCCTGTGTGCCAGTTCTTGTGTTTGGCAAAGAGGAAACAGCAGAGAATAAAACAGTATAATAGGAGAAACAGATGATAAAAAAAAAATCATAATTGCTCAGTTAGTGGTATGTGCCATATAGAAAAATAAAGCAATGAAAGAGAGGAGAGAAGTGCACAGGAAGTGCATGTACTATTTTATGTAGAATTGTGGTTGTGAAAGGTTTTACTAATAGGTAACTTTTGGGCTGGGGTGTAAAGGAAAGCCAAGGCTAGTGTTATAGATATCTTGGGGATGAGTATGTCAGACAAGGAGACTAGCATCTGCAAAGTCCCTCGGGTAGAAGCTTGGTTGATGTGTTCTAGTGAAGCAAGAGGTTGTTATGTATTGAATTATGTCCCCTCAGAATTCTTATGTTGTAGTCTTAACCCCCAGTACCTCAGAATATGTCTGTATTTGGAGATACAGTGTTTAAAGAGGTAATTATTAGATGAGATCATTAGTGTGCACCCTACTACAGTCTGACTGGTGTCCTTATAAGAAGAGGAGATTGGGATATAGAGGAAAGAGGGAAGACAGCCATCTGCAAGTCAAGGAGAGCCATCTGCAAGTCAGAAGAAACTATCCTTGCCAACACCTTGATTTAAGACTTCTAACCTCCAAAACTGTGAGGTTAGAAATAAATTCCTATAGTTTAAACCACTCAGTCTGGGTACTTTGTAGAGAAAGCCTGAGCAAAAAAAAAGAAAGAGAAGCCAGTGTGAGTGAAAGAGGAGGAGAATGGCAAGAGTTAATATCAGAGAGAAAGGAGGAGACCAAAACCAAATAGTGTCTGCGGTGTATAGAAAGGATTTGTGAGTGGATTGGACGTGTAATTTGAGAACAGGAGGACAGTCAGGGGTGACTCCCCATCCTGAGCTGGTAGAATTGACTTGCCATTCCTGAGATGAGGGAAGGAGCAGTTGGAGCAGGAGAGATAGGAAGATCCAGGTTTGGATCTGTCACATCTGAGTTGCCCATTACATATCCAAATGGAGATGCTAAGGTGATAGTTGAATATGTGTGGCTGTGGTTCAGAGGATGAATCCAGGTTAGACAGCTACATTTGTGGGTCAGAGTAGAGATGGTATTTAACACATGGTATTAAAAACTGTGAGGATGGAGGTAACTTTAAAATTCTTAATAGAATGCCATTAAAAAAAGAATCTATTTTCAAATAGTAAATAAGAGATATCTTTGGCTGTTGGATAAGAATATATGTACATATATGTTGTTTATGTAATTGTCTATAAATGTTATGTAATATTTATAAAATAAAATTTAAAATAAAAAATAAGTAATAATTTTCATTCTTATAGGATTGGACCGGAACAAATTAATAAATTTGGCCTATTTGCTTGGAAGTGATTACACAGAAGGAATACCAACTGTAGGTTGTGTTACAGCTATGGAAATTCTCAATGAATTCCCTGGACATGGCTTGGAACCTCTCCTAAAATTCTCGTAAGTTCTTTTTTAATTTCTTTATTCCAGATATTCATATAAATACCCAGATTAACAAACAGAACTATTATTTACACCATGAACTGTTACAAATTATAGTTCATTAAGAAAACAGGAGGAGGTATTGGTTGGGGTTGCTAAAGTGTGTTTTCCTTTTTGTAGAATTCTAATGAAATTAGTGACATTTTTTTCTTAGTGTTGCCAGGCTTATCCTAATTCAAGGGTACAAAGCCAGTCCTATGGGATTTCCTAGGTGTGTAGAAGTTGCTTCTTCATTTGTTCAAATATTTATTGAATAGCTGCTTTGTGTCAGACACTGTTCAAAGCTGGGATAAGAAAGATGACTAAATTATAAGCCGTACCCTCAAGCAGCTGCCATGCTCTTGGGGGTGACAGAGAAGCAAACACATACTTTATTGCTGTTTGTTGAGTGTTTTGAAAGAAGTCGCCAGAGAGGGACATGGAAATATAATGCCAGGAACTCTATATTAGGCACTGCTGTCCAATTTCTTACTGTATCAACAGATTTTGGTATCCACAGAGGATCCTGGAACCAGTCCCCCTTGTATACTGAGGGACAACTATAGTTAAGTTTTTGGGGAGTCAAAAGTTATATGTGGATTTTTTATTGTGTGGGGGTCAGTGCCTCTAAACCCTGCATTGTTCAAGGGTCAACTGCATACTCACATACCTATACATGTATAATCATGTAAGTGTGTGTTATTATTTTCTTTTATAAGAGTGGGATAATGCTATATACTTTTTATGTTACCTGTAACTCATTTGGTAAAAGAACAAGGCGTATCATTAATGTATAGATTTCTATCAGTTTTTAATAATGACCCCATAATAGTCTTTTGAGGTAAAATGATTTATTTAATCAAATGCCTATTGTGATTTCTATTTTTTTAAAGTATAAACAAACATTGATTTGAATGTTCTTATCTTTGGGTTCTTATCTGATTATCGTTTTAGGATAAGTGAAAATATGTGTAACTTTTCAACTTGGTGCCCTAATTATTAGCGAGAGTGAATTTTTTGTTGTTGTTAATTCTCACCAGAGGATATTTTTTCCATTGATTTTTAGAGAGTGGAAGGGAGGGAGGGAGACAGAAAGAGAGAGGGAGAGAAAGAAACATTGATGTGAGAGAGACACATTGATTGGTTACCTCCGCACACACCCTAACCTGGGCAGGGGATCAAACCTGCAACCCAGGTATGTGCCCTTGACCGGAAATCGAATCCGTGACCCTTGGTGTGCAGGCTGATGCTCTAACCACTTAGCCCCATTGACTAGGGTGAGATTGATTTTTTTCTTATGTTTATTGACAATTTGCATTTCTGATTTAGTGCCTAGCCTATTTGTACCATTTTTCTTTTCTTTCAAGAGTTTTTGCTTGTTTGTTGCCAGTTGAATGGTCTGCATTTTTAGTCAGCGTTAGCAGTTTCTGCCTTTGGTCTCCTAGCTCATCAATGACAGATAGGGGCAGCCTATTCAGTGCATGGGTCATGAGGGTTAGGACCGATGCAGAGGGAAAGAGCAAAAGAAGCAGTAGAAAAATAGTAGAATTGAGAATGTTGCCTTGCTTTCTTCTCTGCTCTCCCCTTCTCCTAACCAGACTCTGGCCAGTGACTCCTCCATTAAAGTAGAACTGCTCGCCTGGCCAGGCGTGGCTCAGCGGTTGAGCGTTGACCTAGGATCCAGGAGATCGCCGTTTGATTTCTGGTCAGGGCACATGCCCGGGTTGCGGGCTTGATCCCTAGTTGGGGGCATGCAGGAGGCAGCCAATCAGTGACGACTCTCTCATCATTGATGCTTCAACTCTCTCTCCCTCTCCCTCTCCCTTCCTCTCTCTGAAATCAATGAAGATATATTTTAAAAAAATAAATAAATAAAAAACTAGAGCTCTGGGCCTGTGGGCTGAATTCAGACCAGGTGTGCTTGGTTTGGCCTACATAGCATGCTCTTCTTTAATTTTGAATTGGCTACCAACATTTAAGTTTGGGGAGATTTCACAGAAAATTGTGGATTTGGGGGAGGAAAATAATATCTGAAAATGCCGACCTCAAATCCCAAATAAGTGCCAAAACAGCTCGGGTAGAGAATAGCAATTCTACCCTAACTTGGACAGGGCACAAGTTTTTCAATTTTATCACTTGTGCTACCACTCCCTATTGTGTTCCACACACCTCTGCCAATTGGCAGATGCCATATTTCATCTTTGTGTTAAGTGCCTCTTGCTTTAAAGAGGGGTGATCCTTTTGATTTGATAAGCTCACAACTTGTTCTGCTGATTCTTCAATTATGATGACTGTTTCAAAGACAAAATCCAAACAGAACAGGGGAGAAATACAGGTATCTTCTTTCTCAGTGCACTCTTGTAAACAATATTGTAAAACTGATGAAGAAAAGTCATTTTTCCCTTTTTGCATTTTGATCCCACATTGATGTCTGTAGTTAGCCTTTTTAGTGCTAGATGGCACTCCTGCATCAGTCAAGTGAAACTGGCTTAGCTAACAAATCCGAGCTGATTGCTAAGACTAGTAAGTATGTGAAGCAGGGAAACATGAGATGTAGGGTGTGGGGTTTTTGTGTTTTTGTTTTGGTTCTAGTGGATGCATAGATTAGTGAGGGTTATATTTAATGTTTTAATTTGTATGCCATTCATTTTTTAAAATTGTATAAATTCTTCTGGTTATCTGTTGCCACATTATAAAACACCTTCAGACAGCAACTGTCATTGATTTTGGTCATGAATCCGCAGTCTGGTCAGCCATGTCTGGATGTGTCATCTCTGTTCCATGTATGTTAGGGGACAGCTAACCTGGACTAAGGGATTCATTTGAGATGGCTCACACGTGGCTGGCAGTGGTGCTGTCACCTAGGAGCTCAGGCATAATTAGGCTGTTGGCCTTGGATCCTCTCTATCTGTACCTTTTTACAAGCTGGGCCTTCCTTACAGCATATTGGCTGCTTCCAAGGCAAATTATCCAAGAGACAGGATGTGGAAACTGTAATCTCTGAGAGCCTGGAACAGTGTCACTTCCTTAGTCACAGAGCCCACCAGGCTCAAGGGGAGGGTCTAAGAATGTGTGGCTATCTTTAATTTGCCATAATAATTGATATTCATATGGAAAAATTGAAAAATGAATAAAATATAAAGAAGAAAATGGACAGCTGTATTCCTGCTTAGAGCGTTGCCTAGCACACAGTGAAATAATGTTTCTTAAATATCTGTTTACTTTTTCTCTCTTTCTCCATTTTATACATTTTTTCCAAAATTGGGATTATAGTATATGTAGAATTATGTTCTGCATTTTTAAAATTTAACATGTTCTTGGCATTTTTATATTTTATTAAATATAAAAATGGGTTCATTATTTTAGTTAATTCAAGGTAAATAATACAGGTAGGTATATTACTTCCATTTTACCTCTGAGAAAGAGACCCAAAGAGTTGTGATTTTTTTTTTTTTTTTTTTTTTT